TTCTTCACTGATCCCTCCCGCGGGGAACCTGGAGGGGGAAAACAGCGGTGTTGGGGGTGGCCAGAGTTGGCACAGCGGGTGACACAACCTCAACCACAGAGCACGGCTGTGACTGGGAGCGAGGAACCCCCCACCACGGGGAGGAGCCAGTGCTGTGCCAGCAGGACCCGCTGCTGCGCTGGGACTGTGGGGCAGAGCCCGCCTGTCCAGGCAGAGCTGGGGCACGGGGGCTGCGCCGACCTGGGCGACTGGGCACCTCCTGGTACTCCGGCATGGCGGTGTAGTCCAGCTCCTCGTAGATGGCGTCGGGGATGGCACCCACGGCTCTGCCGGGGCCTGGAACAAGAGGCAGCGCTCACCCAGGGCCGTGGGCACTGTGGCTGGCACCGGGGTCACCCACTGCCCACCCTCCGAGCCGTTCCACACGGGGGAGCCCCTGAACCCCCAAACCGGCTCTGTCGCGGTACCTCCCAAGTGGGACCCACCTCGGCGCCAAGCGCGGACACGGCACATCAGCACGGCCAGGGCACCCAGGGCCAGGCACAGCAGCGTCCCCAGGACCACGCACAGGACCACTGGCACCGCCACAGTCCCCCTGGCCTCCTGCCTGCTTGGCACCTGGAACAGTCCCCCTGGCCACTGTAGGACCGGTGATGCTGGAGACATCTATGGGGACACAGGCAGGCAGTGAGGGGAGGGGGATCCCAGCCAGCCTGAGGGGGGGACTGCTGGGGGACTGGGGATTGGCACAGGCAGAGCTACCTGTGCAGGTGGCACCGTCCGGGCACGGGGTGGTGGGTGTCTCGCTGTTGTTGTCACTGTCCTCCACACAAGCCACGTGGGCGTCCCCTCCCTGGCCGCAGGCCTGCAGGTGCCAGGGTGCCGAGGGGCACCCCCAGAGCGAGCGGGCCCCCTCCTCGCAGCCCACCCAGGCCAGCCAGGCGGGGGCCGGGTGCTGGGCGGGGCCGGGTGCCAGCTGTCCCCCGTCCCCACAGCCCAGCTGCCGGCACACGGCGGCGGCGGTGCCGGGGCTGGTGCCGTTGGCGCACACGCGGCCCCAGGTGCCGTTGTGGAGCAGCTCCAGGTACCCGCTGCAGCGCCCGCGGCCGCCCGCCAGCCGCAGGGAGAGCTGCTCTGCAAGGGGTGCAGGGGGGTCACGGCACGGCCGGGAACCACCCGAGGGGCTCTGCTGGTCCCCGCCCCGGGGACAGCCGGCACTGACCTGAGCAGACGGCCCCTGCCCCGGCCCCGCGCTCGCACTCGCGCCGTTCCGAGCGCGGGCATTCCCAGAGAGACTCCTCGGTCCCGGCGCAGTCAAGGACGTACGGCCACAGCGTCCCGGGGCCGGGGCCGAAGCGCGCCGAGCCGGGCGCCTCCAGGGCCGCACCACAGCCCAACTCCCGGCACACAACGGCGGCGGCCTGGAGGCCCCAGCGCTCCTGGCAGATGGTGCTCCAGGTGCCACTGGCATAGACCTCCACGCGCCCGGCGCAGCGCCCGGCACTGCCCGCCAGCCTCACCCGCCGGCTGCCTGCGGGCATGGAAGGACCGGGCTGGGGGGCTGCTCGGGGCACCAGCACCACAGCCCTACTCGGGACACCCACCTGAACAGACGATGGCTGCCCTATGAGGGATGTTGGTTGGCCCACTGGTCCATTCTCAAGACACTAGAGCTGTCCTCTAGCGAGATCATCCACCTCCTCGGGCGCTGCTGATCAGTATCCTTCCATGACAGTGTCGGATCCATCTCTTCAGCATAATATTCTACCTCCCTGGAGCTGCATGGTCCAGTGCAGTGGGTACCGTACGCAAGGCTAAGTAGCATCACTTTGGTCCAGCCCACCGCAGCCCAGCATCCCACACACCACACTAGAAATTCCATTCGGACAAAAGCTCTCCTGGCACACGGTGCCAGACCCCGGGGCTTAGAGCCAACTCCAGCCACCCGTCGCACCGGCTCTCACCCTCCACCAGCTGCAGGGAGTTGACGATGCCTGTAAAATGACCTGGCTCATCGCTCCCCTCATCCCAAAACAGCCCTGAGCGCTCCGCTCCCAATTCCTGGGGTGTCCCAAAAGCCCTTGAGGGCTCTTCCCACAGGTGCCACACAGACCTGAGCAGTTGACGGCGGCGGCGTTCCCCGGGGTGCAGGGGGGCTCCCCCAGCACCGCCACGGGACACTCCCCCGGGTGCCGCTCGCTCCCGCTGCAGCCAAAGGCGTCCGGCCTCAGCGGCCCGTCCCCACTGCCGAAGGAGCCTCCCGGGGGCACGGTGACAGCAGGGCCACAGCCCAGGTGGAGGCACAAGACTTCGGCATCGGGCAGGTCCCAGTCGGTGGCACAGACGGACCCCCACGTGCCCCTCACCGCCACCTCCACACGCCCGGCACAGCCCGAGCTGCTGTTCCCCAGCCGGAAGCCCGTGTAGGCTGTGGCAGAAAGGGCGTTGAGGGGGATGATGGCCTGGGGACCCCCGACACCCCCGGTGTCCCCGGTGCTTACGGGAGCAGATGATGGTGGCGTGGCCAGCGCAGCCCTGGCTGTGGGGCACCTGTTGGGCGCAGGTGCTGAGGAGGGTCTCGTTGCCGGTGCAGTTGAATCCTCCCTCCCAGAGCGGCCCCGTTCCTGCCCCAAACCGGCCGCTGCCGGGGATGGCGAGCGCCACTCCGCAGCCCAGCTCCCGGCACACCACCTGGGCCACCTTCATGTCCACGTGTTCCATGCACACGCCAACCCAGGCCTGGCGCTGCCGCACCTCCAAACGGCCGGCGCAGGCTCCATCACCCCCGACCAGCCGGGAAAACCCTGCGGGAGTGGCGCAGCGTTGGCACTGAGGGATGTGCCGGGAGCGCTGTGTCCCTCCCAGCCTGGCTCCTACCTTGACAGACGACGGCAGTGTCAAAGTCATGGGTACCGTTGTAGGGTCCCCAGCCACGGATCTCGCAGTCCCAGAGTGTGGCCTCATCCCCCTTGCAGTCCACCACGGCCAGGCTGATGGGCCCGGCCCCTGCACCAAAGCGGTCGCGGGCAGCGTAGGCGCCGATCGCCGAGCCACAGCCCAGCTGCTGGCACACCACCTCGGCGTCCTCCATGTCCCAGATGTCATCTCCCACCGAGCCCCAGCGTCCCCGCAGCTTCACCTCCACCCTCCCGGCGCAGGGACCACCGCCGGCCACCAGCCTCAGTTCCACGGCCTCTGCACCGGGGCACCGGCACAGCTCAGCCCTGCCCGGCACAGCCCGGCACGAGGTGGGTGCCCCGGCACGGCCAGCCCGGCCCCCTCACCTGTGCAGATCACGCCCACATCCCGTTCGTGGCCGCAGAAGTGCTGGCCCCATCCCAAGTGCGAACACTCCTCCAGAACCTCCTCGGTGCCGCGGCAGAAGAAGGGCTGGAGCCAGATCCGGCCGGTGCCCTGCCCGAACGGGGCGTACAGGGACGCCGAGGCCACGCGGCCACAGCCCAGCTGCCGGCACACCACGGTGGCCCAGCGGGCCTCCCAGTCGAACTCGAAGACGCAGACAGAGCCCCACTCACCGCTGTGATTCACCTCCACGCGTCCGGCACAGCGCCCGCCGCCGCCCACCAGCCGCAGCTGCCCGGAGCCTGCGGCACGGAGGGTCCTGAGCCGGGACCAGCACCGGCGGGTCCCCGCTCCCACTACCCCGGCACTCACCCCCACAGAGCTGCAGGCACAGGAGCAGCCCCAGCGCCCTGACAGGCCCCATCCCACCGTCCCGCACCCCCAGTGCAGGCGGCGGATGTATCGGCAGTGCCGGAGCAGTGGAGGCGGCAGCACCAGGGCAGCCTTTATCAGGAGGGGGATCTCCCAGCTGCAGGGCCACGGCCTCCAATAACCTGCTTCGTGCCCAAATATGAGGCTCGGCTGCGCTTCTGGCGTCACACACCTCGCCACAGTGGGCCGGCACACGGATGTCCCCGGGGGGAGCCGGCCCCCCCCACAGCACCTGGGCCGAGGGGGCCCCTCCTGTATCCCCCCGTGGGTCCAACTCTGCCGCTGGAGCCTGGCAAGAGCCATCCCCCCGCTGACAGCATTCCCCCCCAATCCCGCCAGAGCCTCCGCGGGACCGCCCCGAGGAGCGGCACGGGGCAGAGCCCCAAGGCTCCATCCCCGGGTGCCCCCTCCCCGGGCGGTGGGAGCAGCCCCGGCTCCCCCCGGGGCGGCAGGTCCCGGTCCCTCGCGCAGGCGGTGGCACATGGCGCTGCTGCCGCAGCTGTGCCCCCGCGCTCGCCTCGCCCCGGGGCAGGAAGGAGGCGGTTACCGCCCGGCGGGGACGCGGCGTCCGCACCGACCGCACGCGGCTCCTGCCACCTGCGCCGGCACCGATAACGCCGGGACTCTGCGCCGGCATCTGGCCACGGGCAAGGCACGGGGGGGCACAGAGCCCACTCGGCGCTGGGGGACCCGCCTGGGCGAGCCAGCACCGAGCACCAGCGCAAACAAGGCGTGCGGCAGGGGGGAGCGGGAGCTCCCTCGGGGTCTCGGTTGTGCGTGAGGGTGAGGATGGGGCTGAGCAGCCCCTCCAGCAGCGCCGAGCAGTGCCAGTGCCGGGGGAACAGCGTGTTCTCGGCGGGGTCACAGCTCCAGCGGCGCAGTCACCGCCACGTGCCTCCAACCCGCCTGGGACCGGGCACCTGTCACCTGCCAGGGACCCCGTGTCACCCCGCCCAGCGGGGGACGGCACGGCTCCGGTCTGCCCGCGGCGGGCGGGGACCCCGGCAGTGGTTCCCGGGGACACCGTCAGCACCTCCCACCCTTCCAAGGACACGGCACCGTGTCCGTCACAGGCGCTGGAATGGAGCCCGGGGTAGGGTGGGAAGCAGAGCAGAACGACGCGGCCTCCCCGCCCATGGCCCCGGACCGTGACCACGATCCCCGCGCGGAGCCCCCGGGAGTCGGGGGGATGTTCCCCGTTCCCCATTCCCCATCCCCGCTCCATCCAGGCCCAAGCCGAGGGGACGTTCCCCGTTCCCGCTCTCTCACGGCCCGACCGCAGCGGCCCCCGGTGGGCGAGGATGGCACCGAGGGGGTCCAGAGGCGACGGTCCGGGAAAGTCCCCCCTGCTCCCCCCGGGGCAGCTCCACAGCCCCCCTGCCCTCTCTGCCTCAGGGGCCCTGCTGCTCCCCCGGTTGGCACAGAGCCCCCTGCCCATGGCCCGGGCAATCAGGGCCAGGGCTCAGCCTCGCTGCAGCCGCGCCACAAAGGAGCTGCAGGCACCACTGCACCTCCAAACCCCCGGTTTCCGAGGCTGTGAACTAAAAATCAGCAATTCTGCTTGCTCAGGCTCCCGCAGCTCTCCATTTCCTCTCTCCAGAGTGCAGCTGGACTCTGCCAGCCCCAAGACACCTCTGGGACACCTCCAGCCTGGCTGGTGCCATGCTCTATGTGCTCCATCAGGCAGCTGTTCAGGCCAAGGAGCTCCTCTGGATTTGTACAAAGAAAACTCTTAAAAGACAGGGCATGGCTGCACTGCACCCCTAAACCAAGGAGAATTAGGGGAAAGAAAAAACCCAGACTGAGATTCCTTGGAGATTGGTGCAGTTTCTTCCATCCAAAAAAGTCCTTGGTCTGCATGAACACCCACCTGAATCCTTGGAACACGTGATGTCATCAATATCCTCATGGTCCATTTTATTAAAAGCAGATTTCCACAGAGAATTAATGAAATACCGAAAATTAAACTGAAATGGGAATGAACAGTTCCCCCAACCCAGCAAGTTGCAGCATCCAAAAGAAAATGAACAGAAAGATTATGGACTGGAATCCTCACTAGGAAAGGCAAGGGGAAAAAATCATATTATGAAAAGTCTTCCCAAGTATTTAACAAAATTATTTCAATTTTAGTGTCAAATTTTCAGTCACCAGTTTAAACAGAGTAGCCAGTACTCCCCACTGGAAGCAGGAAGAGTGATAAATCCAGTGTTTAATGACCTTTCACCTTCCAAAAGGAAGGAAACAGACAAAATACATAAACATTTCAACACAGGGTAACGTTCTTAAAGTCAACGTATTTTACAGGATACAAAGATTTACAGCTGCAGAACTGAGAGCTGGGCCAGTGTTAGTGCTTCTGCTCCATAACTCGGCCAGAGGGAGACCAGATCCAACAGCAAAACTCTTTGTACAGGCCATTTCTGGGCAACCAGAGCTGTCCCCCATAGGAACATCAATGGGGATGGGCATGAGGGTTATAAGCAGCAAATTCCATGCAGTATTAACCTGTCCTTGTCCTGATCCCGCTGAGCACACCTGGACCCTTGGCTGCTTCCTGGCAAACCTGGCGCTGAAGCAGCAGCTCTGCAGGGGAAGATCCGGGCTCCGTGAGGCACTGGGAGGCTATTCCAGCAGGAATTCCGTGTGGAACTGCGGGCTGTGGGTAGAATTCATCTAAACCTGCAAAGCTGATCCCGGAATCCAAACCCTGGCCCCATTCAGAGAACAATCTTTGTGCTGCCATGTCAGCGAAAGCCGCTGCACTGAGAGATCTCGGCAGTCTAAGGCAGGGCATTCTCTAAATCCCAGCAACCAGCATCTCCAAGGGGACAATCCAGGTCCCAGCCAATTCCTTTTGCCTTTCCACAGTGACAGTGACCCTCATTTGGTCCTGCTCTCCCACGGTTCATTTTGGGCTATCGCTTTGTGCTGGTTTACGTTCCACGACTCCACCCACACACCTGGAGATTGGGAATGTGCTTCTCTACTCCCAGTAGGTTCCCTAAGGAGTCAGATCCTCCAACAACCCCCCTGTTTTACTTCCTAGGTGAATTCTACACAAGCCAGTCCCCCATTCGCTATCCAGGGTGTAAGTGCTCGTGCCCTTGGCATGGTTGGCTCTGACTAGGCAGGAACTGAGAGCAGGACACAGGGCAGAGTGGATCAGCTGCCCAGGGATTCTCCAGGATTCTTACTGAGACAGCAGCATCTGTGCTAAAAGCAGTTGAAGGCCAGGAAGAGACTGGGACAAATCAGGACAAATCAGCATGACTTCTGAGGGTTTTCCAGGCTTTCCCAAGGAGCGCCAGCAGCCTTGGAAGTAGTGTCAGTGAGTTCTGATGGGTTTCTGGTGGGTCATTGCTTCAGTCTTCTCCTTTTCCCTGAACCTCTAGTGTGTACTTTCTGAGTTCAGTTGGAAACAGATTTTCCAGGAAGCAGAAATCTTTCTCATTCTGAGAAGTTACATTTTTCGAACTTCCCATCAGAGCAGATCTTCAGAGTTTTGTTCCCTGCAGTGAAAATCTCTGGCACTGGGAGCGTGACGACAGGGAGTCGCAGGAACGATCAGACTGGGACGTCTCCTTAACGCTGCGGTTCCTGAGGAGCCGCAGCTGCAGCGGGACAGAGCCGCGGGGCGCGGGCAGCGCAGAGTCCCGGCGTTATCGGTGCCGGCGCAGGTGGCAGGAGCCGCGTGCGGTCGGTGCGGACGCCGCGTCCCCGCCGGGCGGTAACCGCCTCCTTCCTGCCCCGGGGCGAGGCGAGCGCGGGGGCACAGCTGCGGCAGCAGCGCCATGTGCCACCGCCTGCGCGAGGGACCGGGACCTGCCGCCCCGGGGGGAGCCGGGGCTGCTCCCACCGCCCGGGGAGGGGGCACCCGGGGACGGGGCCTTGGGGCTCTGCCCCGTGCCGCTCCTCGGGGCGGTCCCGCGGAGGCTCTGGCGGGATTGGGGGTGAATGCTGTCAGCAGGGGGATGGCTCTTGCCAGGCTCCAGCGGCAGAGTTGGACCCACGGGGGGATACAGGAGGGGCCCCCTCGGCCCAGGTGCTGTGGGGGGGGCCGGCTCCCCCCGGGGACATCCGTGTGCCGGCCCACTGTGGCGAGGTGTGTGACGCCAGAAGCGCAGCCGAGCCTCATATTTGGGCACGAAGCAGGTTATTGGAGGCCGTGGCCCTGCAGCTGGGAGATCCCCCTCCTGATAAAGGCTGCCCTACCGATACATCCGCCGCCTGCACTGGGGGTGCGGGACGGTGGGATGGGGTCCGTCGGGGCGCTGGAGCTGCTCCTGTGCCTGCAGCTCTGTGGGGGTGAGTGCCGGGGTGGTGGGAGCGGGGACCTGCCGGTGCCGGTCCCGGCTCAGGACCCTCCGTGCCGCAGGCTCCGGGCAGCTGCGGCTGGTGGGCGGCGGCGGGCGCTGTGCCGGACGCGTGGAGGTGAATCACAGCGGTGAGTGGGGCTCTGTCTGCGTCTTCGAGTTCGACTGGGAGGCCCGCTGGGCCACCGTGGTGTGCCGGCAGCTGGGCTGTGGCTCGGCGATCGGTGCCTACGCTGCCCGCGACCGCTTTGGTGCAGGGGCCGGGCCCATCAACCTGGCCGTGGTGGACTGCAAGGGGGATGAGGCCACACTCTGGGACTGCGAGATCCGTGGCTGGGGACCCTACAACGGTAGCCATGACTTTGACACTGCCGTCGTCTGCCAAGGTAGGAGCCAGGCTGGGAGGGACACAGCGCTCCCGGCACATCCCTCAGTGCCAACGCTGCGCCACTCCCGCAGGGTTTTCCCGGCTGGTCGGGCGTGATGGAGCCTGTGCTGGGCAGTTGGAGGTGTGGCAGCACCAGGCCTGGGTTGGCATGTGTGCGGAGCACGTGGACATGAAGGTGGCCCAGGTGGTGTGCCGGGAGCGGCCCAGGTGGTGTGCCGGGAGCTGGGCTGTGGCACAGCGCTCGCCATCCCCGGCAGCGGCCGGTTTGGGGCAGGAATGGGGCTGCTCTGGGAGGGAGGATTCACCTGCACCGGCAACGAGACCCTCCTCAGCACCTGCGCCCAACAGGTGCCCCACAGCCAGGGCTGCGCTGGCCACGCCACCATCATCTGCTCCCGTAAGCACCGGGGACACCGGGGGTGTTGGGGGTCCCTGTGCCATCAGCCCCCTCAATGCCCTTTCTGCCACAGCCTACACGGGCTTCCGGCTGGGGAGCAGCAGCTCGGGCTGTGCCGGGCGTGTGGAGGTGGCGGTGAGGGGCACGTGGGGGTCCGTCTGTGCCACCGACTGGGACCTGCCCGATGCCGAAGTCTTGTGCCTCCACCTGGGCTGTGGCCATGCTGTCACCGTGCCCCCGGGAGGCTCCTTCGGCAGTGGGGACGGGCCGCTGAGGCCGGACGCCTTTGGCTGCAGCGGGAGCGAGCGGCACCCGGGGGAGTGCCCCGTGGCGGTGCTGGGGGAGCCCCCCTGCACCCCGGGGAACGCCGCCGCCGTCAACTGCTCAGGTCTGTGTGGCACCTGTGGGAAGAGCCCTCAAGGGCTTTTGGGACACCCCAGGAATTGGGAGTGGAGCGCTCAGGGCTGTTTTGGGATGAGGGGAGCGCTGAGCCAGGTCATTTTACAGGCGTCGTCAACTCCCTGCAGCTGGTGGAGGGTGAGAGCCGGTGCGACGGGAGGCTGGAGGAGGCCATAACCACTCCGACCTGGCGCCGTGTGCCTGTGGAGCAGTGGAAGACATGGGATGTCTACATGGTATGTTCTGTGCTGTATTGTGGCCTGCCAAGTGACGTCTACTCAGCCTTGCGTATGGCACCCACTGCACTGACCAGCAGCTCCAGGGAGGTGGATGTCATGGTGAAGGAGATGGATGACATGTCGGGGAAGGGACCACACAACACGAACAACTCCATCTGCCACTTCACTCAGGACGGTGCTGCTGACAGGAGTTATTCCCTGCACAAGAAGAGCTGCTGCTCTCACACATTTGGTTTCAGGAATTACAATTTCAATCTCCCCATTTTTCAATTTCATTTCTGCCTCAACTTTTCCAACCAATCTCTTCCTAGCAGAGGTTTGGGTGAGTTTGGCAAAGAGAAACTGAGGAATTACTCATTGTTTTCCCAGTTTAACCCCTGTCACAGTCAAACTCCTTCACAGTGCCATTTCATAATTCTCCTTCTATTGTGTTAAGGAGTGAGGAAGTTGTAACTGTGTCTGACCAGGACATGTGCAAACCAAATGGTGGGGACTGGAACCCACACCTTGCACTCCTGCAGCTCTCACAATTCCACTCAAGAGAAAACAGCCAATGGTACCATCACTCCTTAATCCCAATCCCACACTTCTTTTGCAGTTGTAGCACCACTTTTATAACCCAATTACAGTCCATTCTAGAGCTCCATGGCCAGGATGGACAGGTACACCTCTGATACTCTCAGGAATGCCTCAATCCATTCCAGGGACCTTGCTTTGAGCTCCCCAGCTTGGGGCACCCACAGGAGCTCCCTGAAGAATCCTTTCCGTCTGCACTCGAATCCTTGGGGTCTCTGAGCCCGGGGGGCACCAACAGCACTGTCCCTCCAGGGGGCCCAATCTGCTCCCAAAATGCAGGGGGATCGTGCCTGTGTCCCAGACTGCTCCGGGGATCTGAGAGCCTTCCCGAGAACATCTCGGTGCTGGCGTGAAGGCCCAGAGATCCCTCAGAACCACGGGAGAGCAGGCACAGAGTCCCTGCTGGGGGCCCATTTGGCTGCCTGAAAACAGCTCAGCAAAGAAGCCTCTAAGACTCAGCTGGGGAGTTTTAGAAGCCAGGCATTCCTTGCTTACAACACCATGCAGTGATCCCAGCCCACCTGGGGTCCTGGCCATTGGCTCGCACAGTGCACACAGAGGTGTCTCCACTGCAGCTGATGGGAGGGCTCAGCATTACACTGTTGCCTAAACGGCTCTGGGGAAAAAAAGACTCCAAGCCAATTTAGGTAGGAGTTAAGATAAGGATACAAAGGCTTTAATGATTTTCACCCAATCCCCGTCCGGCCACCACACAGGTTCTGCCCCCGCCACCTCTCTTGGGAATTGGGTCTGGGGGTGTTTTGGGACGCCCCTCTTCTTCATCTTCATCTTTCTCAGAGCACATAATGTTCTTGGAGGCCTTCCAGAGTCCTAGGCTTGAAGGTTGTTGCGTCTATGGCTATATCTTCTTCCATAGGGTTAGGGTGTTCTCTACAATTCTACCTTGAAAAAGAGAGTAAACAGGCCAGCGGAATTTAGGGGAATTGATATGGGAACGGGTAAAAAGGTTTGCTATGTGCGGTTGGTGCGTTAAAGGGTAAAGGGATAATATGCTGCTACTCTAAAATTTACATTTACTACATAACTAATTCTAAGATCTACAAAAATTTTTAAAAAATCAAAACTCCAAGGCATCATGAGGGTTCATTTTGTTCCCTGCATTCCTGTTTCATATTCAGGACATTCCCCAGCACCTGTGACCATACACACAAACGCTTATAAGGTCTCTGAGGGGCTCCATCGGGGGTCTCTGGTGGTCACTTGTGCCTGGAGCCCCCAAAGTTCTAAGTGACCACCTTATCAACTTCAAGGCAATTCACCTGGTTGCAGAGTAACTTGGTGTTGCTTGGCTGCTGCCCGAGTTCCCTTCTTCATTCTTTCTTTAGAAAAGGAGCAGAAAGCATTAATGCAGCACCAACAAACTAAGTGAGATGAGTCTTTGCCTCGTAACCCTGCACGGGGAAAGGTTTTGGAATTCCGAGGCAAACCCTGATGCACCCAGAGAGCAACAGCCCCTCAGCCCCGCCACGGCTCCCCCCGGGGCTCCCCGGCAGGGAACGGGCTTACCCAGCCCCCGCAGCCCAGCCCAGCGCGCACCCAAACACCGCCCAGCTCCCCCGTTCCACGGGCACAGAGCACACCGCGCTCTGCCCCCAGCCCAGCCCAGCCCAGCGGCCCCACCCTCAGCCCTCACGCACAAACAGCCGCAGCCGCGCCGGCCCCGCCCGCCCTTCTCTAGCGCGGGCCCGGCAGCCGCTGCCCAATCAGCACTCGAGCGCCCCCGTCCAATCGCAGCCCGCGCTGTCCCTGCGGCCCCGCCCCGCCCGCTCTGCCCGCCCGGCCCGGCCCCTCCGCGCCCTGGGGGTGACAGCGAGGGGACAGGAACGACCCCCCCGTCACGCCGAGCTGCCCCTGCTGCTGCACGGCGAGTGCCTGCCTGACATCTTCCAGCCCTTTAGTGTTTAACTGATGCGTACGAAAGTTTTGACTGAATTTCCAAACCCTATGGATTCACGTTTGGAATTTATTATATCCTAAAATCCCGCATATAATACAGCAGATACGAGGCTTTGTCTTGAAATCAGCTTTTATATGAATTAGTATTACTTGACAATATATTTTAAAATAAAAAACTTTAAAGGATTTAGTATTTTACAGAGACACACAAGCCTTCCCAGTGAATTTTTTGGCAGTTTTGGGCTTTCCCCTCCCTTTTTGGTGGAATCCACTTGACCTCCTTGATTCCCCCTCATTTTCTCCACCGTAACATCACCCTCCCAGTGACACCAGAGTGCTCCACGTGACATTATCAGAGATGATGGCACAGCCCCTCCCCATCCTGCACACGTGTCGCCAGGGATGGGGCGTGGCCGGACATCCTCACTGCGATATCCCCAGGGCGCCGACATCATCATAGTCCATGTGCCCCGGGAGTTGTGCCGGGGGGTCCCCTGTGGCTCCGGGGGGACTTGGAGGGGGCTGCTCCCACCTTGGGGACAGCAAAGGCAGGTGCCTGAGGGGGACAGCTCTGTGTTTCCACAGCCCCCGTGGATCTGGTGCAGGCTCCCAGCCCGCCACCGCAGCCGAACCCCCCGTGGAGTGGCTCTCCAGGGCGGACAGGGCAGCTGTGGTCCCTCTTACCTGTGGGTGGGACACAGATCCAGCCCCTCTGTGCCATCCCCTCGGAGATGTCCCCAGTGCTGGCAGCGGGGGACTCCTCTGGCACGGCCGTGGCATCGTCGG